TACTGTTATTATCAGAGCGAAAGGGCACCACAAAGCCCCTTCCTCCTCATCTGCAAACCCAACTCTGGGGTCACATATGCAGATGAGGGAAAATGCACTGTTACCTGGGACCTGACACAGTCTCTCTCACCTTCTGGCAATATTTGTCCGCAAGTTCCTTTTCTCCACTCACCTTCTTCTTCCCTTCCCACCTCACCCCCAAACACCTACTTTTTCTTCAAGGCCCAAGACAAATGCCAACTTTTCTCTGTACCTATACCTCATCACATTCCCATGTAGACACCCATTGTCTTCTATGGGTGCCCACAGCACTTTAAATGTAATGTAATATGCCTCTTATCATTCTATCTTTTAGTTATGTGCCACCAACGCCAATGACTGAGCTTCTCCAGAATAAAGATAATTTCTTCTTCAGCTTTACCTTTTCAATTATTAAAATATTGTTTGACTGGATAAATTGTACATTCATCTAGTGGGATATTATGCAGAGATAAAAAGAAATGAGCTATCGGCCAGGCATGGTGGCTTACGCCTGTAATCCCGGTACTTTGGGAGGCCGAGGCCTGGGGATCACCTGAGATCAGGAGTTTGAGACCAGCCTGGCCAACATGGCAAAACCCCGTCTCTACTAAAAAATACAAAAATTAGCCAGGTGTGGTGGTGCATGCCTGTAATCCCTGATACGCAGGAGGCTGAGGCAGGAGAATCACTTGAAACCTGGGAGGTGGAGGTTGTGGTGAGCCGAGATTGCGCCACTGCACCACAGCCTCAGTGACAGAGGAAGACTCCGTCTCAAAAAAGAAAAAAACAGACAAAGAAATGAGCTACCAACCTATGAAATGATATGGAGGAAACTTCAATTTATATTTCTTAATGAAAGGACCCAGTCTGAAATGGCTATACATTGCACAATTCCAATTATATGACATTCTGGAAAAGGCAAAACTGTAGGGACGATAAATCTTTAGCAATTTCCAGGGGTTCAGAATGGGGGTTAATTTTGAAGATGAAGTACAGGAGATATTTAGGGAGGTGAAACTATTTGGTATGATATTGTAATGGTGGAAACATGACATTATGCATTTGTCAAAATCCATAGTACTGTACAACACAAAGAGTGAACCATAATGTATGCAGATTACGTAAAGTCATTTAGGAGGTAGGAGGGTTCCAGGAAGGGAAGCAGACCATGGCAGTAAAATCGAACTGTATTAAAAATGTATGAAACGACCTCACTGAAGGAAGTAGGGGATCACATACTGACCTAAAATTACTTTGGAAATAAGTGGAATCTTTAAGACTAAAGGCAAAAGAAATTACATACTAAAAGTATGTAAGAACACTTCTTTAAAAATACAATAAAAATAAATAAATAGGACTTAATTAAACCACAAAGTTTCTGTAGAGCAAAATAAATAATCAACAGAGTAAAAAGGCAACCTTTAGAAAGAGAAAATGTTTGTGAACTATACATCTGACAAAGGACTAATATCCAAAATCTATAAGGAACTCAAACAAATCAGCAAAAATAAAACAAATAATCCCATTAAAAACAGGGAAAATGATATGAATAGACGTTTCTCAGAAAAGATATACAAAAGATCAAACATATGAAAAATACTCAACATCACTAATCATTAGGCAAATACAAATTAAAACTGCAATGAGATACCACCTTACTCCAGTCAGAATGGCCATTTGAAAAAGTCGAAAAATAATAGATGTTGGCGCAGATGTGGTGAAAAGGGAATCCTTGTACATTGTTGGTGGAAATGTAAATACAACTTCTATGGAAAAAAGTATGGAGATTTATCAAAGAACTCAAAGTAAATCTATCATTTGATCCAGTAATCCTACTACTAGGTATCTACCGAAAGGAAAAGAAGTCATTATATATAAAGACATGTGGCTGGGCACAGTGGCTCACGCCTGTAATCCCAGCACTTTGGGAAATCAAGGCAGGTGTATCATCTGAGGTCAGGAGTTCAAGACTAGCCTGGCCAACATGGTGAAACCCCCTCGCTGTGAAAAATACAACATTTAGCTGTGTGTAGTGGTGCACACCTATAATCCCAGCTACTCAGGAGGCTGAGTGGGGCAGAATTGCTTGAATCCAGGAGGCGGAGGTTGCAGTGAGCTGAGATCACACCGCTACACTCCAGCCTGGGCGACAGAGCAAGAGTCTGTCAAAAAAAAAAAAAAAAAAAAAAAAAAAAGACACCTGCATGGATATATTTATTGCAAAACAATTCACAATTACAAAGATATGGAATCAAACTAAGTGCCCATCAACAGATGAGTGGATAAAGAAAACGTAATATACATATGCCATGAAATACTACTCAGCCATAAAAAGAACAAGATAATGTATTTTGCAGCAACTTGGATGGAACTGAAGGCTGTTATTCTAAGTGAAGTAACTCAAAAATAGAAAACCAAACACCATATGTTCTTACTTATAAGTGGAAGCTAAGTTATGGATATGCAAAGGCATACAGAGTGGTATAATGGACACTGGAGACTCAGAAGTGGGGAGGGTAGGAGAGGGGAGAGAAAAAGTCACCTGTTGGGTGCACTACACACTATTCAGGTGATGCATATACAAAAAGCCCAGATTTCACCACTACACAATTTATCCGTGTAACCAAAAACCACCTGTACCTCTAAAGCTATTGAAATAAAAATAAATTTAAAAAAGAATGCTGCTTCAGTTGATAAAGTTGTTTCATTTGAGGGCGTGAGTTAACAATTCTGCTACCGCTATGCATGTGTCCTGGAATGAAACAATTGTGTAAATAGATGGCAGATTGTGGGAGCCAGGTTTCTCAATGTTGGAGTGGGAATGTACAGATAAGTAAGGAGAAAAAGCTAGAATGATCCACATAGTAATGGATTAAAGTTGGACACGTTAGTAAGAACTCATATTTAACTTTATATATATATATATATATATTTTTTTTTTTTTTTAAGAGACAGAGTCTTACTCTGTTGGCCTGGCTGAAGTGCAGTGGTGTGATCATAGCTCACTGCAGCCTTGAAACATTGGGTTCAAGTGATACTTTTGCCTTAGCCTCTTGAATAGCTGGGATTACAGGCAGGCATGCACCACCACATCCAGCTAATTTATTTTTAATTTTTTAGAGATGGGTCTCTCTATGTTGTCCAGGCTGGTCTCAAACTCCTGCCTCAAGCGATCCTCCTGCCTCAACCTTCTGAGTAGCTGGAATTCCATGTATGAGCTACTGCACTCGACCCATATAAAAATTTTTATAGATAGATGCATATGCACTGGTTAGTACACACCCATATATTTATTTGATCTGTTAGCTGAGAAGTCCTAAAAGACCTAGCATATTCTCTAGCACACAGACACCTACCATCCAGATCTTGGTTCCTAATACCATTGTCTAATAAAAGGATCTAAGGGCTTTTTGGAGACAGAACTGATTCTAGAACTGGGGCAAGAAAGACACAAGATGTGCCTAGAGCATGTTGTAGTGCCAAAAAGTAAGGAAGTGCTAGGAAAAAAAATCATGTTGTTGGATTATGTCAAAGAGGGCATAAGAGCCAACTGAAAGAGTTCCCGATGACCAATGGGGAAACAATTTGAGCAAAAAAATGAAAATAAAAGTAATATTGAATTATGACCTAAAGTGTAAAACAAGCATCCATGAGTTAGTAATGTTATAAATACATAATTGAATAAATTAATAAGGGTGTGTGTGGGTGTGGAGAGACAAATTGTCCATACGGAAGAATTCCAAATAATTTATGTAGATACTGTGCCCCCCTAAGAAGGGAGCATGCATCCACTCCTTATGTGTGGGCTGCATGTAGTGACTTCCCTCCAAAGATTATGGAAAGAGAGGAAAAAGAATAACTTTACAGTGGAGAAACCTTACAAAAACCACCTCAGCTAGTGATGAAGGTCAACATCAGCAGTCATAAATCATGATGATAGCATGTGTAGGGATGTGAAGTGACGAAAATGGCATTTTGTCTCTATGATCTTCCTCCTGTGACCTCATAAGCCCAATCTAAGACAAGAAAAACATCAAATTCCAATTGGAGAACATTCTCGAAAACACTTGACCAGTACTCCTCAAAACTCAATTTTTCTGTAAATCTAAAACTGTTCTGGAAAATAAAATCTGACCAGTCATAGTGGCTCACACCTGTAATCCCAGCACTTTGGGAGGCTGAGGTGGGAGATTTGCTTGAGGCCAAGATTTTGAGACCAGCCTGGCCAATACAGTGAGACCCTATCTCTATAAAATATTTTTTAAAATAAAAAGAAAAGAAAATCTATTTTGAAAAAGTTACTGACACATAGTTGTTTTATTATTATTGCTATTACTATTTTGAAACAGGGTCTGGCTCTGTGGCCCAGGCTGCAGGGCAGTGTTGAGATCTCAGCTCAATTCAACCTCTGCCTCCTGGGCTCAAGCCATCCTTGTACTTCAGCCTCCAGGGTAGCTGGGACTACAGGTGCACGCCATCACACCTGCTAATTTTAGTACTTTTTTGGTAGAGATGGAGTTTCACCATGTTGCCTAGGCTGGTGGCAAACTCCTGGGCTCAAGAGATTCTTCCACTTTGGCCTCCCAAGGTGGTAGGATTACAGGTGTGAGCTACAGCACCTGGCCAATTGTTCATTATTAAATGACCCAAGGCCCAGAGAAGTTAAATAATTTTCCCAAGTTAGCAAAAATGTAAATTATCGTCAGTATAACCTAAATATAAGAATAGTCTTTGTTGTGATTTTTTCTAATTTATTTAGCAAACATTTATATTATGGTTACTATGTGATATGCACTATTCTAATTGCTTTTCAAGTATTCACTGAGTTGATTCTCATTGTAATGTCATTAAGAAAGTACTACTGTTATTCCCATTTCACAGAGAGGGAACACTTGCCCAGGCTCAAATAGCTAGTAAGTGGTAAAGCTGATGTTTGGACTGACACAGTCTAGCCCAGAGATTATGTGCTTGACCACTACACCATTCAGCCTCTCTTATGTAAAGAAAACTTCGAAAAGTAGATTTAAATTAAAGTTTTCCCCACCGTTTTTTGGCAACAAAAATTGTTAGAGAACATTAAGTGCAGTTGGACAGTTACCACTAGGAGGAGTCAAAGCTTAGAAACCTTTCTAATGACTGTATTTCAACGAGAGTAAAGGACAGTTCTCATCTATATTGCCCTTAACCTGTTTCTGTTTGCTGGCCCATGAATAAAAAGAAAAACATACAAATAAAATGAATTCAGAGATGTCTGAATTTTGTAAAGTGTTTTACTTGTCTTTTTTTCCTTTATTATACATGGCCTTTCATATTGTACAATTTAACACTTCATTATATAGTGTTTTGTTTTTTCGAGTTGTTTCATTTGTCTTGTGCCCACACGGGGATGTAAACTTTCTGTTAGCAGGAAACATGGCTTATAGTGAACTCATTATTTTTAAAAATTGCATGGCACCTGGCATAGTGTTAGGTACTTTGTAAATACTTACTAATCAATTAAAATGCATAAATACCTTAATTTATGTAATAAGTGTGTTTTGAGGCTGGCATAAGTGAACTTAAAAATTCACTAGGAGTACTAGATATTTAAGGAAATCCAACAATGAATCTTTTTAATTAAGAAGAACTCTGTAATTTAGCCTCGTGTAAATCTCTATTTTCATATACAGTTTGGCTTAAAGCAGAAAGCACCTGGGTATACGTCATTGGTTGAATAAAAATTTATTTCTGTATCTTGTAGAGGTTTAAGAAAGACTTACTTGAATTCTGCCTTTTCTCCTTTCTAATGCTGATGGTAACAAACTGGGATACCCTGGGGTAATCAAGTGGTTAAAATGCTTTCTAAAGAGGCCGTGAGTTGAGATCCTGGTCCTGCCCCGCCTCACTCACCGGCTAGGCAATCCACTTGAGCTTTCTGGGACTCCATGTCCTCATCTATGAAAAGAGAGAGTTGAATGAGATGAGCTCTTTCAAAATCACCATTCAGCTTCCCAGGTAAGGGGGCAGGCAGACAGTAGAAGAGCCTTCACAGGCTCTCCCACCAGACTACCACATTTACAGTACCTATATTCTTTATCTTAGTTAGATACCATTGACATTGGGACAGTGTGTAATGATATAGTCATTGTCCACAAAATATTTAATATTTCCTTTATCCTCCCTGTCATCCAGGACGCTATACAAATATAAGGGTAGGTAACAACCTTAGGTTCCAGTTTCAAAGACAAGTATGTTAAGGGACTAGTAGAAGATATGACAGTTGTTGAACCTTTTATTTCTCTCCAAAGCTAACTTAAATAAAACGCTCAGGCTGGGCAAGGTGGCTTACACCTGTAATTCCAGTACTTTGGGAAGCCGAGGCGGGAGGATCACTTGAGCCCAGGAATTCAAGGCCAGGCTGGGCAACATAGTGAGACCCTATCTCTACAAAGAAGTAAAAAATTAGCCAAGTGTGGTAGCACACACCTGTGGTCCCAGCTACTTGAGAGGCTGAGACAGGAGGATTGCTTGAGACCCGGAGGCTGAGGCTGCAGTGAGCAATGGTTGCAGCACCGCACTCCAGCCTGGCCAAGAGCGCAAGACCCTGTCTCAAAAAATTAAAAATAAACATAAAATAAAAAAGAAAACCCTCAGATGTTAATTTTTTTCTAAAAAATAATTATAAACATTCAAAGAGTGTAAGATTATTCAGATATGTGATTTTCTACCTAGGGACACTACGGTTCATTTAACTTTAGAATCTATCATTGGCAAAGAGGTTTGGGGGCCATCTGGGAGTGGTTTATGAGCTGTAAATTGAGTGCAGTGAGAGCAATTAAGCATTTAAATTGGAGCAATGTGTAAACTTAACAGCTGGTAGGTGTTGTCAATTTCGAGCTACAGACCACCTGCTTGGCAGACCACCTGCTTGGCAGAATCTGCATACAAACTGAAAAAAAAATCAATGGAATAGTGAAAAGTAGAATCTGGATTTGGTAATTTGGAGCATAAATTCATATTGCACATACAGCTGAGAACCTTTCAGATTAACCTAGAGGTATGGCAACTCCTCTAGGAATGCTTCACTGGACAAAGATTTGTTAAGCTATTTAAAATGTGCTTAAATTACAAGTTAACTCTCTTAAATTACAACTAACTCTCACAGTTAATAGCTTGGGATTGTTACAAGAGAATCTGACCTTGAAGACCCATGTGTATTTATCTCATAATCTTTTTTTTTTTTTTTTTTTTTTTTTTTTGTGCTTAAAAACAATGATTGTTGAAGACTTACAAGCTTCTATTTAAGTGCATGGTATTTATAGAATATATTAAAGCAGTGTTTTTTTTTTTTTTTTTTACAACAACAAAAAATACCAATATTTATTCTGAAAGGCAATTGTATGTTCCAAGTAGCAGATATTAACAACTTCCAACACGATCTCTAGGAATAATCCGCAGTTCTGAACCATGTTTTAGAAAAACATTTCCAGCAGTCTGTGCAGGATTTATTCCTATTCCATCATTGGTAATAATTGCACTTGTTGCAGCAGGAACTTTAAATTCTTCTGCTGCAAACTTTAAGACTGCTGTGAAAGGTGTACTTTCAGGAACACTGAGTACTTTGTACGGCAGCCGCGGATCCGACGTCAGCGTGATCTTAAAAGAAACCTTCGACATGGTGGTGTCGGGATGAATCTAGAACATCTAAAGCAGTGTTTTTTACTGTTTCCAGGATCCTCCTTAAGGGTTGCCACAATGGTAAAAAAAAAAAAAAAAAAAGAAAGCAGGGGAGTTTCTGACCATTGATCTTCTGGCTTGCCATCATTGACCAGCTTCTTAGTTAAATACATGTTTAAAATTCTCTGTAATAAGGCACTGGTAATTGTTGAAAGGGAAAAAGATCAGGAAATTTGGATTAAATTTAGTCAGACCTATACTTACTACCCCTCTTTTTCATATTAAAATCCACCTGTCCCAGACTTGTTGCTTTCTGAGTTGTTGGGGCTTTTTTGTTTTACTTTGTTTTTTTTGAGAGAGTCTCATTCTGTTGCCCAGGCTGCAGTGTAATGTCACAATTTTGGTTCACTGCAGCCTCCGCCTCCTGGGTTCAAGAGATTCTCATGCCTCAGCCTCCCAAGTAGCTGGGGTTGCAGGCATCACCACCACGCCAGGCTAACCTTTGTATTTTTAGTAGAGACGAAATTTTGCCATGCTGGCCAGGCTGGTGTCGTTCTCCTGACCTCACGTGATTACAAGTGTGAGCCACCGTGTCTAGCCTATTTTCTGAGTTTTTTAAGGTAGCAGATTTGATAACTTTTGATAAACCAAGGGACATACATCACCTCAGGGAGCCTTATTTTTTCTACTAATTTTATTTATTTATTTATTTATTTATTTATTTATTTATTGAGAAGCTCTGTTGCCCAGGCTGGAGTGCTGTGGCAAGATCTCAGCTCACTGCAACCTGCGCCTCCTAGGTTCAAGCAATTCTCCTGCTTTCAGCCTCCCGAGTAGCTGGGACTGCAGGTGCCCACCACCACACCTGGCTAATTTTTGTAGTTTTAGTAGAGACAGGGTTTCACCATGTTGGCCAGGCTGGTCTCAAACTCCTGACCTCAAGCGAACCACCCACCTTGGCCTCCCAAAGTGCTGGGATTACAAGCGTGAGCCACCATGCCTAGCCTTGTTCTACTAATTTAGAAAGGGAATGTTTTTACAAGTTTTTTAGGGCTGTTATAGTTTCCTTGGTTCCTTAATCTTCTTACCTTGGTCTTAGAATAGGCAAGATCCTGAAACACATTCTCAGCCTTCCATACATTCATGATCTCATTCAACCAACATTAATGAAAAAAAGATGAATACGACTGTTCCTGGACCTTAAGGAGGTCCCAAGTTTAAGCAGGAGAGACAGAAACACAGAAATAACTACAACATAACAGTATTTAGAGTACTTAATGTCAGGCATTTTACTAGACAATTTATAAATGATACCATTTAATCCTACCACCAACTATAAGGGGCAGGTGTACATTTCTCCATTCGCAGATGAGGAGACTAAGGCTTAGGAAGTTACCTTGCCTTTCTTTTGCTCTCCTTTGTATAGTGCACTTGTCTCTCAAACTTTTAGTGTACCATTTGTCTGAACCCTCAAGTATATTGCATTAGGATTGTAATTTTTCAGGTGAGAACAGCTTTGTCATCTTTGTATCCCTGGAACATGGCTCAGGGCTTTTCATGTAATTCATGTTCAATAAAAGCTATTGGATTGAATGAAACATGGCAGAGTCAGGATTTGATCCTATGTGTGCCTGGCTCCAAAGCCCAAGTCCTTTCCACTCTGTTAATTTGTCTTCCTACCTCATAAGTGCAATAGTAAAAATACATACAAAATATGGGAGCACAGAGAAAGTCATAATGTGGTTCACAGGGAAGGTAATATTTGAGTTGGGCATTTGAAGAATGCCCAGTAATTTATCAAGTTGAGAAAGCAGAGAAGGCCTCTCAGCTGGAGAAACAGCTCACACAATGGCATGAGAAAGTAAAGTGAATATGATTTATGAAGAGTGCTGACTAATTCCATACTGATAAAGCATAAGTTGAAAGAAAGTGAATGATGGTTGTTGCAACTGGAATGCTAAGTTGTACTGGCATGTAAGGGACATTGTATGTCATTCTCAGGAAACAGTTTGGGCAATGGAAAGCCACTGAGGGTTTGTTGTTGTTGTTGTTGTTGATGGAGTCTTGCTCTGTCGCTCAGGCTGGAGTGCAATGGTGCGATCTCAGCTCACTGCAAACTCTGTCTCCCGGGTTCAAGTGATTCTCCTGCCTAAGCCTCCCTAGTAGCTGGAATTACAGGTGCACACCACCACACGTGGCTAATTTTTATATTTTTAGTAGAGACAGCGTTTCACCATGTTTGCCAGGCTGGTCTCAAACTCCTGACCTCAGGTAATCTGCACGCCTCAACCTCCCAAATTGCTGGGATTACAGGAATGAGCCACCATGCCTGGCTGTCACTGAGGGTTTTTAAACAGAGGACTCACTTGGCAGACAGGGGCTGGAATCAAAATATTTGGGTTCAAAACCTAATTTGCCTCTTACTGTGTGATCCCTATATAGTGAGGGTTTCCCATATCCTCCGTTTCCTAAATGAAAATGATAGCATCCTATCAACCACTGGAATTTTTATGAGATTCAAAAAAGTGCTTTGTAAGCTGTAAATCCAACTATAAACGCTAGTTATTATTAAATTAGCATGTGTATTAGTTTGCTAGGGCTGCCATAACAAATACCACAGACTGGGTAGCTGAAACAACAGAAATTTATTTTCTTACAGTTCTGGAGGCTGGAAGTCTGAAATCAAGGTGTGGGCACGGGATGTGAGGGCAATTGGCTGCAACATCTGTTACCCAAATGATCCCCAGGGTTGACTCAGCTGATCTGACTGGCTCAGTGAGTGTCCCCTTCCTCACCGCTCCATGTATGTCCCTCCTGAAGCTGCATGCTGATCGAGGAGGACTGTTCCTTGGTCAAGGATATAACAGTAGCTGTGCTTTTTCCGGGTTTTTAAGATAGCTGATTTGATGACTTCTGATAAACCAAGGGACATACATCAGGTTCTAGCAAGGGATATAATTGTTCTTTGGTCAAGGATATAAGAATACTTGTGCTCTTTCTGAGTTTTACTAGAACCTCCAAATAAGTTCTCAAGGTATTTTTGTAGGAAAATGTAGGAACTTACATCAGATCTCCCAAAACTCCAGGCAGATCCAAATAGGTGCTGTATGTAGCAGTCTGCCTTCCTTAAAAAAAGAAAAAAAAAAAAAAAAAAAGAGGGAAGGTCAGCAGGGTTGACTTCATTCTGAGACCTTGCTCATTGGCTTATAGATGGCCATCTTCTCTATTTGTCATCACATGGTGTGTCCTTTGTGTATATCTATGTTCCAATCTCCTATTATAAGGACACCTAGTCATGGATTATGGGACCCACATGATCTCATTTTACCATAATTACCCCTTCAAAAACCTTGTCTCCAAATATAGTCACATGCTGTCATACTGGGGGTTAGGACTTCAACATACATATTTCGGAGGTTCACAATTCAATCTACAACAGCACATAAGAAGATCAAAATGTAGCAACTCCACAATGTCTACTCAGGCAATGCCAAGTCAAAAATGGAAAGCCTGCATTATTTTCTTTTTTCTCTTCATCTCTTTTAAGGCCAGTCAAGTAAAGCAGTGGGAATGGAGAAGGAACAAATAAATCTGTAACTGGTTGTGATCAATTCATTGTAAGCACCACTGTTTACAGTCATGACTGTCCTATTCAACCAGGAAATGGAGGCATGGGCTCAGACCTGCATCTCTTCCTTGTGAAATAGATTCCCTGGTCAGAGGCCATGTTGGATGGAATTCCATGTCTGTGGATCAGGCTTTCGAGAAGCCTCAAGAAAATCATGCTGGCTGAGGCTCTGTGGACAAGAAAGGCAAACCCATGTCTGGAATGAGTATCTACTCTATAAGGATGAACTGCTGGCCCTCCTAGGATGGTAGGGACCCTTAGGGTGGCCTCCTCGAGGACCACAGTGTTGGTCTATACTGCTGACAATTTGAACATCAAGAGGCTGCAATAGCCAGACTGGCCCTGGGAAGTGGGAGTCCATGCTTTTGGGTCAATACATAGCCTTCATTCCTTCTACCATAGACAGTCTGTTCATGTGCCCATTGTGTCTGTCCTGGGATTGACAGTGGCAAGGGCTGGCTAACATCAATTAGCCAAGAAATTTTGTCTACTTTCTTTAGGAATTCTTCTGCGGTGGCTGCTTCTGGTGGTCATTAACATATTACACAAAAATCTTCACACTTGGAGCCTACTCTCTTGTGCCTTTACACATGCCTCTGTCTCCAATCCTCAAGCCCCTGGTCAGCCCCTAATGGTCAGGCCATTGACTACTGCCAGAGTCTGTATATATTCTTGCCTCAGGCCGTTTCTCCTTCCACTCCTGATGTTAAGGAAGAGGAGCACGTTCCTTCTCTGTTTCTCTTTGGCATCTGCCCTCCCGCAGGGAATACATGCATTCTGTGCTTCTCCTCTACACCGAATTGTACAGGGATAGGCCCAGGGTCACCCAGGTTTGCCTGCAAGTGGGTGGGCCAGCCTGTACAGTTCTGCTGCTAAACTACATCCTCCAAACTACCCTTTATCATAATTAAAGTGGTATTTTGATCTTGAATTGACTCTTGCATCCTTCTCTTAATTAGTTCCAAGCTCTGGAAATGTTACTGATTATGCAATCTGAAACCCCAACAGAAACTATCAAAGCTGGAATTTTGGCAAACAAATAGGCAGTATTTCTCTACTTTAAAATTTCTCCAGAGATGCAGGCATTTTCCCGGGTTTAGGGAATTATAGGAGTATTTGATCTTATGGTGGACACAGGAGCCTGAAGAGGTGTGAAAAAACATTGACAGAAAGTTATGAACGACCACAGGGTCTGAACAACGTGGGGTAGATGCATTCTGGTTGCCTCATCTCCTTGGCCCTCTGTAGGACTCCTTTCTAGGAGGCTGATGTGATGAGAGCCAAGACCAGCCTCCTGCAGCAATACAGATTCTTCTTTGAACTGATGGTTCATTTGGACCATGTCATGGAGAGAACTTTGGAAGGATCAGTGTGAAAATATTTTTTCTAACTCCTTTTG